TTTCTTGACCTGCTCTCCTTTCTCATTTTATTATTTGGTAACATAATGTCTGGTGGTCAGGTCAGGAGAATTCAAAGACTTGTCAGAAGTTTTCAGGAAGCAAATGTTGGTCCTAAAGGTCCTTGTTAACTTGAAGAAGAACATATAGAAAGGGCAGTTCATCCTTTACAGTGAGTAGAAGCAGTGACATGGATAGATCTTGGAAGGGAGTAGGCAGAGGTCAGAGTTGAGAGGCAGTGAGAGGGACTTGATGGGGAAGCTTGGCCTGGAGCACTTTTTTCTGGATGGAGCTGTGGATTGTAAGCTCGACTCTTCTCATTCATATTCATTCAGTTTTGTGAGAGAAGACAGCTCAAGGAAACAGACTATTGCTTTGTTTACAATGCACTTAGAAGCCAGGGAAGGGAAATCACATGATCTATTTAACAAGAAGATGCTTTTGCTGCAAGCAGAATGAATAAGAATAGCATCAGAGGGGCCGGGGTGATGACTCAGTAGAATAAGCACTTGCCTGGCAAGCACAGGGTCCTGAGTTCAATTCCTGGTACCACAAAAATAAAACAAAAATAAACAAAAACAATAAAAAGAATGGCATCAGAGTAGAAATTGATAGGACATTTAGGAGGCTATACCATTGGTCCAAGAATGACATGATTATTTCCAGGATGAAGATAAGTGAGGAATTGCAGCTATATTTTCAAGAATTTATGGAGTGGGGGCTGGGGAGATGGCTCAGTAGAATAAGTGCTTCCCTGGCAAGCACAAGGGCCTGAGTTCAATCCCTGGTTCTGCAAAAAAAAATAAAAAAAAAATAAAAAATTATGGAGTGAATATGACTAGACAGAAATTCAGAAAGATTCAAAGGTTTATGGCCTATGGAATTGGATAGATATAGGAGCAGTTCTTTAGATAGCTAAATGTAAAGGATATAAGTGCAATTGAAAGTAGGAGGGTTTGACTAGAGGGAGAGTGGAAAAATAAAGATATTTTTTATTTGCTTTTATTTTAACTGCTAAACTTATCATCAAGATCCATGGACCATGGCCCATTTTCCTGTCTCATGTCACATGTCATAGTATAGTTCTTCTCCTCCAGGAACTTAATTATAAAGAATATTGCCTTAATCAGGCATTTTGTTATTCTGGTAATCATTTGTTAGGAGGAAAGCTTCCTTTTGGCTCATGGTTTCAGAAGGTCTAGCCCATGGTTACTTGGCCCCACCACTTTGGGTCTTTGGTGACATAGTACATCTCAGTGCAAGTGTGCGATTGAGGCATGCTGTTTGCCAAAGCAGGTGGCCAGAAAAGAAAAAGAAAAAAGAAAAAGCCAGGGTCTCAGTCCCAATATCTTCTTTGAGGGCACAACCCCAATTACCTTTCTTCTACTAGGCCCCACCTATTATAGGTTCCATCATTTTCTAATAGCATGAAGCTAGAGACCAAACTTACAATACATTTGATTTTTTGGGGGGCATTTAAGATTCAAACTATATTCATGCCCTAGTTCGCTCATCACTGGGACAAAATAGCTAACACCCATCAAATAAAGAAGAAGTTTATTTTGGTTCATGTTTTAGCCCACAGTTGACTGGCTCCATGGCAGAGGCATGACAGAACATGGCAGATCATAGAAATCTGAAGACAGAGAAAATGAAGGAGAAGCCTTAAATGTCACCCCTGGCCATCTGCTTCTTTTGACCAGACTTTGTCTTCTAACATCATGCCAGTTTATACGCCCCATAATCTAAAGCCTTCCAAAATCTCCACCTATCAATGCATAAGGGTCTTGGGGATGTCTAGGTATAAACCACAAGTGAATACTACTGTATTTTTTTTTTTTTTTGTGTGTGAGATACAGTCTCCTTTTGCAGTCAAGATTGGTCTTGAGCTCACTTTGTAGCCAAGGCTGGTCTTGAACTCACAACGATCCTCCTGCCTCAGACTCCCAAGTGCTGGGATTACAGGCAGGTGCCACCACACCTGGCATTATACTACTGTAGGATAAAATTATTTTGGTCATCTACTTTAAGAAAATCAAGCTAAAGGAGTAAGGTAGGGAAGAGCATCTACTCCTGTTTGACTTTATCCATAGAAAACATTAGTATTCCTGTAACCCAGTTTAGAGACTCTTAAATTACCTAAACTGGATGAGACAGGATCTTACATTGTGCTAAAGGGGACAAATGTGGGAAGGAAGGACATCTCTGTGTAGGCTCCTAATTACTCATTCTACAAATATTTTTTACAATATTTTTTCACGATCGGCCTGTTTCAGGTACTGGGATTAATGCAGGGAGAAACATAGATTCCTTGTCTTTATACAAGTTGTATTCCAGAATACTGATTCTGTCAATACCTGTTCAAAATATTGAGTTGTTCATTGTCTATTTCAGCAGCAGAAAATAAGCTCTTGGTTTGAATTAGGCACAGTGTTTTCTGCATTCTCAACTTGTCATTTGCTGTACTTTTATCTGTGTGCCTTCTCTGTTCCTCTCGGATCACATCTGACCCATTCAGGACTGGTATTCCATGCTGCAGGGCTATGCTGACTGAAATCCAGTTTGGTTGGTTAAAGCCTGTGCTGCCTTCACTGTCACCGCCTATTTGTCTGTCCACGAATAACCCAGCCCCTCTAGAACTTTCTTCTGCCACTTTCTCAGCCCTTGATATTGTCATTTTCATTTGAAATCATGACACTCATTAGTTTATAACTTAATTTCTAAGGCCTGAGACTTTCTTATGCCATCTAGCTTGGTTGTTTTATCTCTATGTGAAAGGTTTTTGCCTTTTCTTCCAAAAGAGATGGGCAGTTGCTTGTGCGATTTAGGAACCACATGTATATTTATTAAGTGATCAGTGCTTTGTGAGGGACCCACAGTTTCACAACTGTCTGTGGGGGACTTAAAGTGCATGCACACCATGCTCATATCTATGTAATTCCAGCGTTAAGGTCTCCCTTCACCCCATCTCCCACCTCAGTTTCCCCCCAACACCTTGGTTGGTGGGCGCATTACCATGACAGCACCTTGCATGGTGCTTGGCTATTTCCTGCATTGAAAGGACAGTGGGATGTCTTGCTTGCCAGCCAGTCTAATGCAGGATGACACTTCTGGCACACCAAATGAAGGTGGAGGAGCCAACAGTCCCAGAGAAGAGTCCATTTCTATGGAGATTCAAATGAGAAAATGACAGAGCACAAAGCAGCTTAGTTTTCATCTTATATTTAAATGTAAAAAGACAATAATTAAGCCAAAGCAGAATATGAGTTATGATTGTTAATTGCTGAGGGAGGCACGGCGTTTGAAATTATCCAGATTTATTTGCAGAACTAGGCAGACAACGTGTGTGTTCTGTGTGATCGCCTGTGCTATAATACTGACAATTTGAGCGTTAATCGTTTTGGATGTTTCAGATTTATTTTACAACTGTAAGTGCAGTAGTTTTCTCCCCTCTGAGTGATGCTGAGGAAGTGTTATGGCCCATCGTCTGAGAATGTGTGACTCTGCAGTGATGGCTTTCACAGGGCAAAGCTGGCTTCATTATTGGGGAAATAATTTCCCAAATTTTTAACAGGCCTTAAGTATTTCATTCATAAAATTGTTTGAGTCAGCCAGCTGAACAGTTATACTGAGAGTTTCAGGATAAGAGGCTCCTTAAAGCATTTAATGTCCCCACTTTTAATTATAATTTTTCAATATTTTATTATTATTATTATTATTATTATTATTATTATTTTGTATTTAGTACAGGGTCTCCAGGGTCTCACTGCATATATCGGACTCATAGTAATCCTTCTGTTTACAGCCTCCCAAGTGCTGGGACTACAGGAGTGTGCCACCACTCCTAGTCTCAATTGCCCTGTCAGCGTGCCCCAGAGGCAGGACTGGCAAGGCAGGCCTGGGGATTGAACTCCTGGCCCCTGCTTAATCAGGTGCCTTAATCTGCTAAACTATTTGGCCAACACCCCACTTTTAATTATAAAGCTGTGTAGATGCACAGTACTTTGCATCAGTGTAGCTGAGATTGGGCCCCTTTGGATGTTAAAAGGAGGAGGGAAGTGAGATTCAGACCTCGGTTTAAGAGCAGATATGATATTGATAAATGTAGATGTGAGAAAAGGGCATTTATGTAGAATACTAACATAAGTCTAAGCTTCAAGGCAGAGTATATAAGGTGTGTTCCATGGATTAATTAGCTATTAGTTTTAAGGTAGAAGAAATCAGGTGAACTTGCTTGGGTCTTAGGCTTAGATGTTTGGATGTGTATTGTGGCCAGGCCACTAATAGCTACTTATGTCGATAATTTATTTTACTTCTCTGAGTGCCATATGTGGGACAGTACTTCCTATTAGGCTGCTTTATTTTTTGTTACTAGAACAACGCACAGCATAGACTAATTATAAAGAGAGAAGAGATTTATTTAGCACGCAGTTTTGGAGGTCCCAGGTTGTGCGGTTGGCCTTTGCCCAGCTCTGGTAGGGGCTTTGTTGGCTCTGCCATGTTATGACAGGAGTACATGCGAAAGCAAGACATTCTTTCTTAGAAGAAGGAAACCACCCTTACTAAACAATACAAAAACAAAGGAAGCCTGAGAGGCTGGAGGGCCAAGGCCACCTCTGATGATGTCTCAGTTGACCTGGGGTCTGAACTCTAAGACTGTCCTCTTCCTAAAACACTCCACTTCTTAAATGTTTCCCTCTCCCCAGAGGACCAAGCTCCTAACACATGAGCCCTTGAGGGACACATTTAGGCCTTTCAAATTCTAGCATGGGCTATTTGGAGCTGGTAAGATAGTGTGCATGCAAGCCCTCCATAAACTACAGAGCTCTGACCAGTAAAGCACTCAAGGTTTTAGAGTAGAAGAATAATATGTAGAAGCATTAACTTTTCATCTATGTATGAATGATGAGAGAAATAGCTAAATATTCATCAGCACTGAATTATTTCACATGACTATGTTTAAGGATTTGAAGCTCACCCTTCCAGAAAAGATCATTCTAACCACCCATCATGGCTACAGCGGAGGCTCTGCCTGAAAAATCAGAATGTGAGTACCCATTCTTGTCTCGTTGCTTGATGCACAATGTCTGACATTTCAACTCTTTTAGGATCTTTCCTGTTAATTGATATTCCTCAGAAGACTACACTTAGGGTACATCCTACTCCATTTAAGTATAACCAACTGCTGACAGGTCTGTTAGTAACTCATGTACAATATGGTATCCAGTAGTCATATGTGGCTTCTCAGTGTCTGAAATGTGGTTGGGGGAAATAAAGGAACTGAACATTTAATTCAATTTCAATTTTAAGGTGGGCAATTAAATTATTGGAAAACTTCTAAATGTGCTTAGAAAAACTTGGATATGTGAATTTACTTTTTCAAATGAATATTTTACAAAATCAAAAGACATCAAATATTTCTGGTAAACATTTAGCAAATGAAGTTGAGATTTTTTTTTTTTTTCTCTGTATTTTAGAGAAGGGTCTACCGGGTGTTCAGGGTCTCACTACTAGATTGAACTCATAGTGATCCACCTGTTTACAGCCTCCCAAGAGCTGGGATTACAGGTGAATGCCACCACCCAGTCTCAATCACCATCTCAGCGCACCCTGGGGGCAGGGCCAGCAGGGCAGGCCCCGGGATTGAACCCCCTCCCCTGCACCTGCTTGCAAGTGTTTTAATCCACTGAGCTATTTGGCTGGCCTGAGATTTTGTATGTACAAAATTTATACAAGATTCTGAATGCAAAGCAAAAAATTAGGAATGTAAAATGTGTTATTAATTTTTAATATTCATTATTTCTAAAATGATGTTATTTGGATATTATGATTAAATTTTCATCATAATTACATTGTTATGATTAATTTCACTTTGCATTACTTTTAATGCATGCTAGAAAACATTAAATTACATATTCATCTCATATTATACATCTTTTATAGCTTCATTGAGCTATCACTGGCACACAAAACTATACATTTAAGGTGTACCACATGAGATTTAGATACATATATCAAGCTAATTAGCATATCACCTCGTGTAGTTACCTTTGTGTGTGTACGTGTATGTATGTCTGCCTGTGTCTATTGTAATAACACTTCAGATCTATTCTCTAAGTAGATTTCATTGTTATTAGCTGCACCTTTTCTCCTTGTAGGGCTGAGCTAGATTTGGTAACACTACAAGCAATCCCAAATTTAGGCTTAGCATGGCGGGGGAGCGGAGCGCTGTGCAGAAACCCGAGTTCGTACTTCTGTTGGCTCTGCCCGGCACGTGTGGCCCCTCAACATGAGACGGGCCACCTGCCACCTGCCCAGGGTGTTGTGCTATAGACAGTGCATTCCATTGGTGTAGTGCAGTCCGCTTCACTTGGAGAATACAGTTTCTTTTCATTTGTATAGTACAGTACATTTTAAAGACGGGAAAGGTGGAAAGGGAGGAAGATCCAGGAGGTAGAGGGGGAGTGTTCTCTCGTTTTGTTTGCCTTCAAATTATGTCCCTAATTATTTCAATTTTATTTGTAATTGCAATGCTGTGAGCTTGGAATTCCTCTACATTTTCTCAGCAGTCTAATCTCAGAGAAATAACACAGACAGATTTTGGATGGTGGGGCATACTCTAAAATTTCTGTGGGTTAGGTCGAGAATTTACTAATCACTTTTGAAGACTAGAAAGTAGATACTTTGCTGAAGATAACCAGAAATAAAAAGGGGAGAGGTGAGAAATGTAGGAAAGAGGCGTTTCAACAAAACACGTGTAATGTGCAAATGAAGAATAAGGTCTTAGTTCAGGATGTGCGGTACAAGAGGATATTGCAAAGCTTCTACAGAGTTGAGAAAGGGCTCATAAATTTGGGTTTCATTTTGCTCTTTAACTCTTTTTTGAGGAGAAATTAAAAGCAATTCAGTTTTTTCACTTACATGTAAAAAACAATCGAACATGACATTTATTGCAAGCTTCTGTTGAGAGATGTTGCTCCCTTCCTGCCTTCCGCAGCTCCGCACCCAGGACTGCTCACCGCCGTCGTAGCTCCGGCTCTTCCATCTCAGCCGCTCTGCACAGCCGCTCCCCGCTCCTTCAGGTTCTGAGCCTCTGTGCATTCGAGCCTGCTTAAAGAAAGGGTTCTTTTTGAAAAGCTATCTCATTAGAGACTTTATATTCAAACTTTAGTTTTATGTTTTTACTTGTTGGGTATAGGAACAAGGAAAAAGAATTCCTTCTTGCAAATTAAAACTTAGAAAGCACTCAAATATGTAAAACAGGGGAGCCCGAAATTGAAAGAAGGAAGAACCCTCAAGGCATATGAGATTAATGAAGCACAAGTCTAAAAGCGCTGCCTAATCCTGGATTTGATTCATTGGCTTATTTCTCTTGGGACACTTCTGATTTAAACCTTATCTCTAATAATATAATGTAAAGTTTTATCTCTTTAAAGGGAAACTCAAACATTAGTGAGCTGGCTGATATTGGTAGTTTACGCTATCTTCTATTATACTAGGTTTCTTGCTGAATGTCACGACATTTAGTTACCGAATGTTCTGGCAGGGGCAGGGGAGATAGATCAGTGGTCTAAGTGCCTGCCTGGTGAGCTCAAGGACCAGATTTCGATCCGTGGTACCGCATGCCAAGCTGGCCTTGGGACCCCAGGCTTGGTGGCACATTCCAGTAATCCCAGTGCTGGGGAGGCCAAGACAGGAGTCTGAGCTGTGTAGTGACACCCTGTACTAAAGGAAGAAAAGAAAGAAAGAAATTGAAAATATCCTGGCAGTAGACTCTTCCACACCTAGAAGATAGGGATGACTGGTATCTTACTGATTTTAGCACATTTACTGTCTCACAGCTGCTAGCATCTGCCAGGTACATAATAAGCCCCTGCAGAATGTGTCCCTTCATGGTTGGGGCTGAGTCACAGGGAGGATGCTTTGCTAACACCTGAGAAATCAGACGCAAGTACGCGTTCACTCTGATCTTATACAGAAGATCGGCTTGAGCCATGTGGCCACACCTTTGTTCAGGATCATATTCTTAGCCAAGTTTTGCAAAGCCTTTCTGCAGAATGTAGTCTTTGAATGAGAAAGATGGAAAGCCTTTGCATGTGCCCAGTTACTTTGTACAGTTATCAAAAAAACATGTCTACAAGCTTTTGCATCTTTCTGAATGCAGGAAAGTCTTGCTCAGTGAGTATAATTAAGAGATGGCTCACTCTCTGCCATACTTTCCATAGCTGGTTTTTCTTTTTGTATCATCACTTCAGAGGTTTTCCAGAGCAACTATATAGAAGCCCTAAAGCAATAAGAGAAAGCTGCAGTTTATGAACCATCATAGCAATACCATTAAGCTAATGATACATAGAGAATGAGTCTTTCTTTAAAAAGAAAATAAATGGAAGGAATTAGTTTAGGCTGGTGAAAATCCTTGAGATGAGTGGCATTCACATTTTTTCCCCCTATGGAAATGTTAACAACTGCTTTAAGTCAATTTAATATGGCCATTTCAACCTCTTCATAAACTTTACTGTAAAACATCTGCTGCTAATAATTTATTATTTCTTTTGGGGGATTTGGTAACTTAAATAATCCTAGGAATGAAGAGATTTTAGTAGATTAATTAGTTTTGGATAAAATAGTATGAAAAGACAACTCACTCAAACTCCCTTAGAAAATTGTCTATTTTTTTTTTTCTGTTGAAGAAATAAGGATTGGCTAAGGAAATGATTAAACACTGTTAAGAGACAAGTTAAGTCCAATGATAGTACCATATTAACACCAATAGTTACAATAACTGGTCACATTTATTGAAAGCTTATCATGTACCGCTCACTGTGCTAAATGCTGTGTTACAGTGTCTGAGTAATCTCTCTTCACTCTGGGACATACATTATTGTTTTTCTTCTTTCACAAATTAGAAAACTAAAGCTGAAGATAAAGTAAGGCTCACCTGTAAATGTGAATTCAAACACAATTATGTGATGCAAGACTGGCCACTCTTACGATCACTCTGTGGTACACAGTCATATTTGCAAACAAAGCCATAAGGATGTCTTAAAGGAGAACGGGCAGGCACTGGTACCTTGCTCTTCCTAATTTGTAATGTGCTTTTGAATGTGAAAAGTTGTGTGCTCATGCAAGTATGTGTACATCATTGTAAACAGAGAATAGAAGCTTCAACTCTTATCAAGAAGATGAAGTCAGTGTGGGGATTGTTTATTGTCTAATAATTTTAGACTCATATATTGAAAATATACATGTTTTTGGATATTATAAAACTAAAGAGAGCAACTAGCATTCCCTTTTCTAAGCCATTAAGATAAGAACTATCATGTGCCATCTTGGGAATTTAATTCTTTTCTTCAAGGCTAACTTTATTTATAGAAAGAAATCCGAACAGCTGCCTCAGCATGTCACTTGACAGGAGGGTGAAGGACAGTCCACGGGCCTTCAGTGCAGCTGCTGCCAAGATCCTGGGAAGCTGCTGCCTCTGAGCCTGGCTGCCTTGCTCTAACACTGCATCAGCAATGTGAGGGCTTGTTCTACCCATAAATCTCATGGTCTGACTGTGTGAATGCACCTTAGTAGGACCTCAGCACGTCTGAGTCTGCTTGCTGGCACCACAAAGGCCATTAGGTGTGCCAGGGTGCACGTGAGCTTCTCCATCAGTTCCCAGGGGACAGGCTGCACTTGTGGGAAGGGACACCACTGAACTCAAAAGAACAACTAGGAAGAACATGATATCTTTCAAACTCAGCTCCTCTGAAAAGCTGATTTTTGGTTGCTGAGAGGAAAATCAGAACAGCTCCATCAGCATACAGAATGACAATGACGTTTGGGAGTGCTGTCTTAGAAACATAAGCATCAGTGAATGTAATTCACTAGGGTGACAAGTCAAGAGTCAGGAGTCTCTAGTAGTAGTATAGCCTCAGGAATAACAGCACATGAGGAGAAAATGCAGTAAATGATTCAAGACTTTGTAAGCTTACTTCCATTTTCTGTGGTATGTAGCTAGAAGTGGAACATTCCTGCAAGTGGGTCACTTGTCATACGGTTTTC